GATGATGATGATGATGATGAGCAGGAGGAGGAGGAGGATAATGATGGGCAGGAGGAAGCGCAACGGCGTGATGAGGGGAAGAGGACGAACAGAACGATGAGCAGGAAGAGCACGAGAAGAAGCAGGAGGAAACCGAGGAGGAGTAGGAGGAGGAGGAGGACGACGACGACGACGACGGTTCCCTCCCATTCCCCAAAGCTTCTGGGATGGTCCCCAAACAGCCTCAATCTCCCAACACCCCGCCCCCCGACAACTCCCTCCTGCCTCCTGCTTCTCCCCCACATTCCTTCTCCTCGCCGTCTTTGTCGTCCTCGTAGTCCCCGTCCGCGTCCTCCTCGTCGCCCTCGTCGTCCTTGTCGTCTCGACGCCGTCCTCGTCGTCGTCGTCGTCGTCCTCCTCCTGCTCCTCGTCTTTCCCTCCCCCCCTTCTACTCCTTCCCCACTTGGTGCGGGCCCGCTGGGGCCCCCGGATCGCTGAATGGGATGCGATGCCAGCAGCTTTCTCGCCTGGGCTTGCCCCCCCTACAGCGCCGGTTTCAATAAATGCGCCGGTTGATGAGTTTATGCACTAATTCATTCATTAATAATCATGTAATTGAATTCTTATATATTGAAAATCCTATGTGTTAAAACCTGCCCTGTTGGCGGAACTGTTGGCCGCAGAGTGGCCGCTTCAATGGCAGGAGCTGGGCACTGCTACGCGAGGAGGCATCGCCCCCCCCCAAAAAAATAAACATAAAAACTGTTTTGTGCCCCTGGCCTGCCTCCCCCCCAGGCGTCACACCAGGGGCCGCTCTTGCCCGGGGCCGCTCTCCTCGCGTGGAGCCGAAGCTCGTCGCTCCTCTGCGGCCACGGGCGGCCACGGGGCGAGAGCTCCTCTTCCTCCTCCTCACTATCCTCCTCCTCCTCCTCATTATCCTCCTCCTCCTCCTCCTCCTCCTCCTCCTCCTCCACCTACTCCTCCACCTCCACCTCCTCCTCCTCCTCCTCACTATCCTCCTCCTCCTCCTCCACATCCTCCACCTCCTCCTCCTCCACCTTCTCATTATCTTCCTCCTCCTCCACCTCCTCCTCCTCCACCTCCTCCTCCTCCTCCTCCTCCTCTCCCTCCTCCTCCTCCTCCTCCTCCACCTCCACCTCCTCCTCCTCCTCCTCCACCCTCTCCTCCTCCTGCTCCTTCTCCCCCTCGAACTGCCAGTCCTCCCTCCCCTTTGTCTTCTTCTTTTTCTTCTTCGTGCCTGGAAGCTGGAGGCACAGGGCAACCGCTCAGTGCACGCGTTGGTGTGGGAATCGTGCAGTCATACGGTCAGGGGTTTTGGCTCACGAAGCCTCGGCGCGAAGCGCCACGCCACTTCCTGGTCCCCAGGCGTCAACGTCCCGAGTTTTTCCGAGACTGTGGAACGGCGGAGCGGAGCGATACGCTACTAGCTCGCAGGGCATAGCGTGTCGCCAGGGCCGCCGCCGCGACACGCCAAGCAGATTTTCCCCGACCGCAATTATATCAGATAATGTGTGTGTGTGTGTGTGTGTGTGTGTGTGTGTGTGTGTGTGTGTGTGTGTGTGTGTGTGTGTGTGTGTGTGTGTGTGTTTGGGGGCGGCGCAATCTTGCTTTGTCATCGGGTGAGCTGTGCCTGGGGCGGCTCCGCACCAGACAAGGCGCCCTGTGAGAGGGGTCTCGCCTGCGCGCGCGTGTGCCCACCCCCTCTCCTGTTCGCTTCCGCGCGGCCTATCGTACGTGTGCGACCAAGATTTCCAGGTGCAGACAGTATTTCTACCCATCTCCACGGAGTCTGGGATCTTTTTGAGGAAGGGCCGCCAAAAACCGGGGACGCAGTTGATGTGGATAACATCTGGCTTCTCGAGAGACCAGATTGTAATCCATATCAACTGCGTCTCGGGCTTCCGGGGGAGGAGGCCCGAACATCAGAGACGCAATGGATATGTCTATAGATCTTGGCCGCATTCAGGGGCGTCAATCCTTGACTCCTTTGTGCCCCCCCTCAGCGAACGTCGGCTGGATCTGCGACAAGTGCATGCTGTACAACGGCCCAGACTGGAGCGGCCCGGTGCTGGAGTGCAAAGGAGGATCCTGCATTTGAGCGGTCGCAGTCGTGCAGGGGGATTGTCAAAGAAACGGTTACTGCATGAAGCTGCGTGTGTTGAAGATGAGTCGCTTCTCGAGACGTTGCGCCGCAGTTTTGCTGGCCTGCGCCAGCGGGGTTAGGTCCCCATGACGTCTTCACTGCAGGGTGTTCCACTGAAGGGAATTCTGGAGACTGTTTTGTAAGGGTCGGGCGATAACCAGGGTTATCGGGCTTGCCCCCCCCCTCCCCCCCCCCCCCAGGATAACCTAACCTTGCCGGTTGTGCAGGTCCGCGTGGGGAGGGGGGGGCGCGGGCATATGCAGAGCTGCCCACAGCGCGAAGCTCAGCTTATCGGCCAGACCCCTCCTCCCCCCCCCCCCCGGATAACCCGGGTTATCGCCGATTCCCCCCAAAAGCGATCTCCTGTCCACCCCCTGTCCACCCCTCTCCTGTCCACCCCCTATCCACCCCCCGTGTATGTGTTGGCGCCTCTTCTCGTGCAGAGCCCAGGGTAAGTGAGGCACGCTGCAGCCACCGAGTGGGCGTTGCTTCCCGGCGGGCGTCGCTGGACTCCACGGCACGTCGTCGGAAGCGGAGCGGCCACACGTTCTCCCGCGAGCCATCGGGCTTCCAGCCTGTCTAGCGCCCGCTTGGCCCCACGTGCAGTGGCCAGAGACAACAACGGGAATCGAGGGACAGATCGCGCGTTTCGTCGCTGTTCGGCTGGCGGGCGGTGCCAATGTGTTCGGGTCCGTCCCGTTGATTCCGTGGGCCCCCAGTCGCTGTGCGCAAGCGGAGTTTTTGTTGAGCGCCTGAAGTCGTCAACAGACTCGGTGAGAGAGGGCGCGACGGCTGTATTGCCTCAGGCTGCGCGCCCCATTGTTTGATTGCAGCACGCATGGCTCTTCGGGTGGTCTCAGCATTTTTGCTTTTGTGTCCGCAGCCATTTTGGCTCAAGCTCGAGGCACGTGGCTCTCCTGCTTGCGCGCATTTTTGTCCGTCTTATTGCAGCAAACATGGCGTTCTTGGCGGTCTCGGTGCTGCTGCTCGCGCTGTTGTCTCCCGCTGCCGGGCGGCAGCCCGCCACTGCAGTGGGCGCGGTGGAGGCCAGCGAGAAGCTCGCGCCGAAGACCACCCCGATGGCCATGGTGATCAAGCTGCTGAAGGACCTGACCCTCAAGGTCGAGGCGCAGGGCAAGGAGGAGGCGGTCAACTACGACAAGTACGCCTGCTTCTGCAAGGAGCAGGCCGACGATAAGCAGTATGCCATCGAGACATCGGAGAAGAAGATTGAGGAGCTGAACGCCCAGATCGAGGCGCTCACGGCCGCCCTGCAGCAGCTGGCCACCGAGATCTCGACGCTTTCCCAGGACATCGTGGGGCTCGAGGGGGACATCAAGAAGCTGGACGAGGATCGCGTCGAGGAGCACGAGAAGTATGAGGCCGACAGCGCCGAGATGGTCGCCGCCATCGATGCGTGCGAGCGCGCCACCGAAGCGCTCAAGGAGTCCAAAGCCGCCATGCACGGCAAGGCGGAGCTCAGCTCCCAGCTCGCCCAGGTCCACGCCGCCGCCTCCTCGGGGGCGCGGAGGGGCTTCGTGGTCCTCACCGCCGAGCAGGAGGCCGCGCTCGGCGAGCTGTCCCGCGGGCCCACGGACGGCAAAGCCTACGAGTCCATGTACCACTCCAACGAGGTGATCGAGCTCCTCGGCGACCTGAAGAACCAGTTCATCAAGGAGAAGAACGATCTCGACACGACGGAGTTCGAGAGCAAGAAGTTGTACGACAACATCCGGCTCGAGAAGACCAATGACAAGAAGTTCAAGGAGATGGACAAGGCCGAGAAGGAGAGGGTGGAATCCGAGAAGCAGGCGGAGAAGGCCACGGCGGTCGAGGCCGAGTACGTGGAGACCAGGGCCAAAACCGCCGACGAAAGTTTCATGGCTGTGCTCAAGAACGAGTGCGAGGAGAAGGCGCTCCTCTGGGACCAGCGCTCCAGGACTCGGGCCGAGGAGATGCAGGCGCTCGCCTCGGCCATCACGTCGCTCGAGTCTGGCGCGGCGCCGAACTGGAGCGCGAACAAGAAGCTGAACGACCTGCAGACGCAGAAGAAGACGCCGAGCTTCCTGCAGCTCCGCGGGGGCCGCGGTGGCCAGAGGGTGGGCGGGCGCGAGAAGGCTGTGGCCCTGCTCAGCTCCGCGTCGGAGCGCTTGCACAGCTCGATGCTCGCCATGGTCAGCCTGCGCGTCGAGGCGTCCCGACAGACGACGCAGGGCAGCCGACAGGAGGACCCCTTCGTCAAGGTGCGCCAGCTCATGACAGACCTCATCGCGCGCCTGGAGGCTGACGCCTTGGCCGAGGCCAGCCACAAGGAGTTCTGCGACGAAGGGATCAGCAAGGCCGTCGGCGAGCGCGACGACGCGGTCGGCGAGTCGGAGACCATCGACAAGGATAAGACCATCGCGACCGCGGAGGCGTCGCAGCTGTCCATGGACATCGCAACGCTGAGCACGCAGATCGCGGAGAACAAGAAGGGGCTGATGGAGGCTACCGAGCTGCGCGCCGCCGAGTCTGCAGAGAACGCGAAGACCGTGAGTGAGGCCGAGGCCGGCCTTGCCGCCGTGAGGGAGGCCATCAGCATCTTGGAGAGCTTCTACCAGGGGGCGGCTCCAGCCAGCAGCCTGCTGCAGACGGGCAGGACAGGAGCGGCCGCGCTGCCCTCTGGCCTGAGGGAGGACGAGCTCCGTTTCAAGTCCACCAACTCCGACCGCACGGGCAAGACTGTGGCCGACTACGCGCCGGACGTGTTTGATGCGGACTATCATGGGTCGCAGGAGGCCTCGAAGGGCATCATCGGCACCCTGCAGGTGATCGAGGCCGACTTCGAGCGTACCGTGTCGGCAACCGAGGAGGCAGAGTCCCAGGCCGAGGGCTCCTTCACAACCTTCAAGACGGAGAACGAAGCGGACACGGCGGCGAAGGAGACCGAAAAGACTGGCAAGGCGGGCACGCTGACGGTCACGAACGAGAATATCCTGTCGCTTGAGTCCGACCTAGGCGACGCCACCACTGCGCACGAGTTGTCGCTTAAGTCACTCGAAGCGCTCCGCGCGGACTGCATCGAGAAGGAGGAGACCTACGAGGAGCGCGTCGCCAAGCGAAACCAGGAGATCGAGGCCCTCAAGGATCGAAGAAGAACAAAGCGGCATAGACATACACTTTCGGAGCTCCGCGCGGCCTTCCCGGATCTTCGCTCGCCCCCCCCCCACCCGGCGGCACCTCTAGCGCTGCCCTTGGCGCGCGGAGAGCGCGCCCAAGGGAGGCGTGTAGCCGAGCTCCGATCCAAGACATCTTCCGCGCGGAGCTCTGAGAGTTATTGCGGTATGCCGTTTTCCACGAGGAAGCTCACTCCATTCTGGAGGACTGGGAGAGCCAGTGAGGCACCCCGGTGAGGCCTGGACTCGCCGGCTGGCCCGGCCGAGCCGCGCTGTGCCGGTCTGTGAGGCTCTGTCGCAGTTTGCGCTCTCGTCACGTCGTGACGCGCGTGCGAGGTCACGTGCGCGAGTTGCCCAGGGTCGGTGGGGCAGGACGTCGGTGTCCATGTCCAGGTGCAGTGGGCGCATCAAGTAAGGCATCGGCCTGCCAGCACGTGTCCCACAGACATTCTTCCCCCCAAATTGTCCCCCGGGACCCTCAGAGGTTCTGTGGCACCATAGGACCCTCAAAGATGGACGAATAATGTGCCACACGATTTCTTATAGCAAGATTTCAGATCGTCTCAACTCAGTACTGCACCTGTCCTCCATTCCCTCAGGGTCCCCTTCCCCGCGTCTCCCCTGGCCATCACGTTCCCTCCACCTCGCCTCCACGTCGGCCTCCTGCTCCACCCCTCTGGGGCTGGGGCCGGGGAGCGAGCCGAAGCCACTGCAGGCGTGATCCCATCTAGCCACTCCGCTGTGATGCTGTGCCTGCCGGCGGGCGGGGCCAGTCGCTGGTAACATGGCATGTTGTATCAAATTCGCTATGATCTAAAGTGCCGTTTTTAATACATGCTCCACGTGCGGATCATGTATTAAGAATGCAGGGATCTAGTATTAAAAACAACGATGAGTTCATGCATGCATGTGTTCATAATGTAATCATGTATTTAAAAAACCTATGTTTTAGAACATCCTATGTATTAAAAGCTGCCCGATACTGTGGCTTATGGCCTCTCAGTCGAACGTAGCAGCCCCGACTCGTCTCCTCGAGGCCCGCCCAGGAGCTGCCTCCCGAGGCCCTGGCTCGAGCACCTTTCCCGGCCGTCCTGCGGTGGGTCCTCGTTTTGGGGAGGCGGCGCCTCGCGTCCTTCAGGAGGGGAAAAAACACACAGACACAATTAATCGTCGATTCCCCAGAAAATATGGGAAAATATTGGAAGTGGGGGGGAAGACAGAAATCCAAATGACATGGGAAAGTATGGGAAATCCTTTTCTTTGTGTGTGTATCTATCTGTGTGTCCCAGGGCCCCTTTACATCCTCCCCCCTGCCCCCTGGCAGAGCTAGGCCCGGGGGGGGGAAGGTTTGCTTTTACCACCTCCACTTCAATCATAAGAGAACGTTGGCCAGTCAGACGAGTGCGGCAGTGACCGATGCCGACGTTGAGCGAGCGATCTCCCACCCCTGCCGCTGTCCTCCGCACGACAATGTCGGCACACCCTCGCACGCTTCGTGGTCCCATAATCAGGGAGCTCCACCGAAGGCCCCAGCGGCAGGGTCCGCACGCGTCTCCCCCGCCCATCACGGCACACTCCTGACATGCTTCGGGGCCCCATCGGGAGCTCCACCCAGTGCCCCAGTGGCAGGGTTCGCGTGCGTCTCCCCATCTATGACGGCACGCCCCTCCCACGTTTCGTGGCCTAATGGCAGGGTTCGTATGACTTCGCACGCTTCGTGGCCGCAGAGGTAGCTCAACCGCAGGCCCCAGTGGTATTGTTCGCATGCGGTCCCCTCGCCCATTTCGGCACCCCCTCTGACATGTTTCGCCGACCCATGCGGAGCTCTACCGAAGACGATACTCACAACTACGGCATTCACAGCTGTGCATGGCTGTGTCCTTCGCCAGGCTAATTGGAACCGCCGTTGGTTCTCTTTCCTGAGATCCGACGTTGCGACAAATTGCAACACCGCGACAAATCACGACCTGAGCCATGGACCCCACCTGTCTGCAGCATTCTTAGAGCTGGATCGATCTGTGATGGTCTCGGGGCTCGAAATTGGGCGCCAACGCCCGTTGTGGAAAAATGGCAGCGCCAGGATCTCAGGATCGTTCGGGTACAGCTCTCTTCGAGCTCATGCGGCAAGCGCCGTCTCGAAAGCGTCCACAGTGCGGAGAGCCTCGGGACCGGCTGGGGCCCTCTGCGCGGATGGAGCGGGTGGAAGCGAGGCCACGGACCAGGGATGCCTTTGGGGCATCCCGACAGATGGGCCCCATTTCTAGTGCCATGATGGGGAGGAGGAGGAGGAGGATGAGGAGGAGGAGGAGGAGGAGGAGGAGGAGGAGGGAGGAGGAGGAGAAGGAGGAGGAGCAGCAGCAGCAGCAGCAACAGCCGAAGAAGGCACGCCTCATGAACCAAAACTTTCGGAGATCCACGCCGATGTCTTGGATCTGCGCGGGACCCCCATGGCGGCGCCTCCGGCGCCGCTCCTGGTGCGCTTCGCGCGCCAGCGAGGGGGTCAAGCGCCGATCCAAGAGATCCGCGCTGAGCTCCGAAAGTTTATGCTCATATTTATTGTTGCTCCTCCAAGGAGGGGGTCGGCCCCCGCCTCCCCCATCTCCCCGAGCGGCCTCGTCTGCCAGGCGCCGGCTTTAAGAAGCTCGACAAGGACGGGGGCAAGGGCAAGGGCAAGGGCAGGGGCAAGGGCAAGGGCAAGGACGAGATGGACGAGTGCCGCGGCCTCTGCCGGCTGGCCAGGGCCTGCTGGCGGTCGGGCCTCCGCCGAGGATGAGGGTGGAGTGATGATGGTGATGATGATGATGATGATGATAATGATGATGATGATGATGATGATGGTGATGATGGTGATGATGATGATGATGATGATCATGATGATGATGATGATGCTGATGATGATGATGATGATGATGATGATGATGAGGATGTGATGACGAGGACGATGCTGGTGATTGTGATGGTGGTTGTGGTGAGGCTGATCATGATACTGCTGCTGCTGATGATGAGGATCATGATGGTGCTGATGATGATGGTGATGCTGCTGAGATGATGATGGTTATGCTGATGATGAGGACGATCATGCTGATGATCATGCTGATGATGCTGCTGCTGATGACGATGCTGATGATTATGCTGCTGCTGGTCTTGATAATGATGGTGATGACGATGCTTATGGTGGTGATAGTGATGGTGGTTGTGGTGGTGATGGTGATGATGTTGATGATGGTGATGATGAGGATGAATGTTGATGATGCTGATGCTGCTGATGATGCTGCTGATGATGCTGAGGATGCTGCTGCTGATGATGATGCTGATGATGATGCTGCTGCTGATGATGATGATGATGATGGTGATGATGATGGCGACGGCCACGACGACGAGGAGGACGAGGAGGAGAAGGTGTATAAGGAGGAGCAGGAGTTGGAGCAGGAATAGGAACACGAGGATGATGACCAGGATCAGGTTGACGTGGGGGAGGATATTGACGTGTAGGATGAGGTTGAGGATGATGAGAGAATCATGCATAGAAGAGGAATGCGGGGGGGGGAGGAGGAAGGAGGGGTGGCGAGGAGGGTGAAGAGGAGGAGGAAGCGAAATAGGAGGGGGAGGAGGAGGAGGAGAAGGAGGACGTAGGGCAGGAGAGGGAGAAGGAGGAGGAGGCGGAGGAGGAGGAGGAGGGAGGAGGAGGAGGAGGAGGAGAAGGGGAGGCGGAGAGTGAACCCAGGGTATCAACAATGCTGCCACAAGCCCTCCCGTTCCAAGTTCATGCACGTAATCACTTTCACAGCGGGCAGCGCCACCCCGAAAGGGCGGCACCCCATGATTTTCCCGCGCAAGCGAGTACACCCATGCTGACCAAGGGCCCTCCCCCATCCTTCTGTTTGTAGGCATTCAAAGTGTGAGGGCCATCAGCTTCAATGAGTTGTCTTGCCAGAGCCTCGTTTGGGACAAACACGCCCCCCTTCCGCGACTCTGTCGCGCAAATTCATTCAAGGATGCCATCCGCCAGGGACTTTGATCAGTCGCCGTCCTCCACCAGCGGAGCTGGTGAACATTCTTGAAACGATGCCCAGGCGAGTTGCAGTGATCAGGGGATTGTAGGAACAACCGTGGAACAACAGAGTGGGGGAGCTCTGACACCGAAGCTCGGGATCAGCCTGAGCAGACCCAGGAATCAACCGTAAATGCCTTCTAGGTTTTTCGATCGAAGATTCTCCTTGACAGCTTGCGGAGGCCATCTTGGGGCTCTCTTGGAGCCATACTGGAGGCAGTCGGGGCTCTCTTGGGGCCCTCTTAGGGGTCTCTTGGGGGCATTTCAAGTCCTCCTAGGGCCATCTCAGGAAACGTCGACGAAATATCGGGGAATCCCATATCAGCCCCGACCCTCTGGAGCCACTGCAGTCGCATCTTGGGCGCTCTTGGAGCGCTCTTTGGGCTCTCTTCGGGCCATCCTGGAGCTACACTGGGTCCCTCTTGGGGCTCTTGTGGGCCACCTGGGAGTCACCATCATGCCCGAGAAGCCCATTAGAAGCGAACCTGCGAGAAGGCCAACATTGCTTGTTGCCCTTAGGCTTGGGATTGATGGTTGTCTCTTGGGGGCGGCCTTGGGAGGCTCCGTGGGCACTTGGAGCCGTCTTGGGGCGGTCTTTGGGGCCTTCTTAAGGCATCGTGATCTTGGAGAAGATTTTGAGCCATACCGGAGCATCGTGCGCCATCATGGAGTCCATCTTGCACTACCCGGGGCCATCATGGAGCCATGCTTGCGCAACCGCCTCCCGAGGATGCCCCCGAGGTGTCCAAACCTTGAACAGCTAGCTCTGTTTCAGTTCTGCTGTCTTTGAGCTGGCGGCCACCTGGGGGGGGGCTACTTGTGCGCAGCCCGAAGTCTTACTGTGCCTCCCGAGGCCCCTTCCCAGACATCGGCCGCTCCAATTTTTCGGATGCGTGGGCCCCGGAGGCCCAGACCAATTCCCCGGGGCGCGTTTTTCGCCCCGAGCCTGTTTTTGACGGTCTCGCGAGGCCTGGCGAGGGCCCCTGGAGGCCGAAAACGGCTAACACCCCGCCGCGCCAACTTTTTCGAAACGCCGGCTCTCGGGGCCCGCAGTCAGGAGGGGAACAAACACACAGACACAATTCCTCGTCGATTCCTCCGAAAATATGGGAAACTGTGGGAAGTGGGGGGGGAGACAAAAACCCAGACAAAATATGGGAAACTGTGTGGAATCCTGTTATTCCCCACATGTTTCGTGGGGTTCTGGTTTTTCCCTGCCGCGCCGCACCCGCGTCTCACACCTCCCCCCTCCCCTTCTCTTTCTCGCTTGCACAGCACAGCACAGCACGGCACAGCTCAGCTCAGCTCAACTCAGCACAGCACAGCACAGCGCGCGGTCTCTATGCGTGCCAGGGTCAGAGAGCGTGGCAGGGGTGGCACGTTCTCGACGCCACAGGGGGTGCGCTGGGGGTGGGGGCCCACCGCGGTCTCTATACGCGCCAATGTCGCAGGGCACAGCAGGCGTGGCACTTCCTCGACGCCACAGGGGGTGCGCTGGGGGTGGGGGCCCACCGCGGTCTCTATACGCGCCAATGTCGCAGGGCCTAGCAGGCGTGGCACTTTCTCGACACCGGAGGGGTGCGTTGCAAGCTCCCAGGGCGTGGCAGGCGTGGCATTTCCTCGACGCCACAGGGGGTGCGCTGGGGGTGGGGGCCCTGTGCGCTGCAGGCTCCCAGGGCGTGGCAGGCGTGGCATTTCCTCGACGCCACAGGGGGCTTGACAGCAGAGAGGGTACGTAGGTAGCGTAGCAGCCTTGACATTTTCTGGTGTCTATATCTTGGGCAGTATGCACCGGTGCCTCAGAGCGTTCAGTACGACGACGCTTGTTTGTCTGGTTGGTCTGGTTGGCGTGGTCTGGTTGGTCTGTTCTTGTTGGTCTGGTCTAGTTGGTGTGCTTGGTTGGCCTGGTTGGCTCGTGTGGTTAGTCCGGCTGATTATGGCTGCGGTTGTTGGCATGACTAATATGGTTGGTCTGGCTGGTCTGCTTGATTGGCCTGGCTGGCTGGTATGATTACTTTGGCTGGTTATGGCTGGAACGAATGATCTGGCTGGTCTGGTCAGTCTGGCTGGTCTGGTCAGTCTGGCTGGTCTGGTCAGTCTCTCGTCAGGATGGCGAAGCGAGATGTGACATGGTTTGTGAACACACGTGACATAAAATAAGTATGTGGGGTTCCTCGGTAGTGTAATTTGTGTGTATTTATTTGTGTGTCCCAGGGCCCCTTCAATAAACTTCCCGGAGCTTCGTTCGGACTTCTCGGATTGGCGATGGCCCCCCTGGTGGCGCCTCCGCGGCCGCCCCCGGCGCGCTCCGCGGCGCGCAGGGGAGGGGGGGGGGGGAGACAGAAACTCAGACAAAATATGGGACAACGTGTGGAATCCTGTTCTTTGTGTCTATTCATCTGTGTGTCCCAGGGGCCCCTTTACGCAGCCGCTTTGGCTCCGCAGGCCGGCCCGAGAGGCCGCCCAAACGCGGCGGCGCCTCCGGCGGTGGCCTCATGTCGGGCGTGTCCCCCTGCAGGGGGATTTTCGGCGAAAGATGCAAAATACCTCCAAAAATACCCCCAAAAGGTCTAACAAATAGTAAGCAAAAATGCCCCCCTGACTATTTTTGGGCTACTTCTAAAAATTATTTTGGGAGTATTTTTCCTTTCTCGTCGAAAACCCCTCTGTAGGGGGACAGGCCCGACTTAGCCGTGGCCCCCGCGGCCGCTCGGCGCGCCGCGGCCATGTGCGGCCCGCCGGCCTGCCCGGGCGCGAGCGGCGAGCTCGGCGGCGCCGCGCGGCCGCCCGCCGAGGCCGAGGCGGCCCCGGAGGGCGGCGGGGCCGGCCGCGGCCCCCAGAGCTCGGGGGCGGCAGAGAGGGGGCAAAGCGTCCTGGCTCGCCTATAGCCCTACCAAGCAATGTTCTAAGAACCTCTTGTGTGGTTTCCACGAGATGTTCTTAGAACATTTCTGGCTGACATCGTCTTGTTTTACCCCATCGGATTTATGTCCCAAGAACATTGTTCTTGTTCTTAGAACATTTCTGGGTTCTAAGAACACTTCGTGGTATGACTATAGGAATGCCGGGACGGTCGGTCCCTGCTCAAAAGGGGGGGGTGATGACTAGGGGGGGTGGATATCATGGCGGGGGCCATGATATTTCCTCTGATTTCAGGGCGCCTCTTCTTATCTCATTGCGTCCCTGGTCCCCACGCTGGGCCGCGCACGTGCCGCCGGTCATGACATTTGCACCCCCCCCTCTTGGACCCCCCCTCTTTGCCGCTCCCGACCAGAACCCTACCCCTACCCCCCCACGATTCCTGAGGGGGAGGGCGGGGTTCACGTCGCTCTCGAGCTCCCGAGGGAAGGGAACCCCACCCTGCCCCTCAGAAGCCGTGGGGGTGGGGGTTAGGGTGCGCGCGTGGCCCCCTAAGAGCTTTGAGGAGGTGATTTTGCACTCCTGGCGGGGTTCGTCGATGTTGGCATCCTGGGGTTGAGTCGGGCATGTCCCTGTGCAGGAAGAATGTGGAATAATGGTTTGAGCATAGTCTGGTGACTTTTTTTTTTGTGCTCGTTTGGCTTTTCTCTTTCTTTCTTTTACATCTTCTGCATTCTTCCCAAAGCCGCCGGCAGGAGGACATGCCCGACCTAACCCTGGGGCCCACTCCTCTGGCCCCGGGGCCACAAAAACGGATCCTGGGC